TGCTTACCCTACAGAGCCACACCAAGACTCAACCAAACTATTCTAATCTGAAATACTGGTGAAATTTGTGCTCGGTGGAAGAACAACTTCATTTTGCAGTTGAAGAAACTTTGGTCTTAAGAGATGAAGTGATTTGTCTTCATTCCTATAGCTTGAAAGTGGCAGATACAAACTGAAGCCCAGCCTCCTGACTTCCAGCCAAGTATCCCCAATCTTTAAATAACACTGCTTATTTCTCCCTTCCCTTCTAGCTATCACCCTATTTTTCACCTTCCTTTTACTTAAAATTTCCACACTCATGGTTTCTGTACTAAGCTATCTCACTGACTACTTTCTTTTCAAGTTTTGCAAGTTTAATGCCAGGCCCAACAAAACTGACTTTGCTAGTTTATTTTCCCAGAAGTGTGGTAGCTCTGTAGGATAAACACTAGACTGCAAACCAGAAGGTTGATGGTCCAAGCCCACCAGCTGCTCCTCAGGAGAAAGATGAGGCTTTCTTCTTCCAGCAAAGTTTTACAGCCTTGGAAACCCTATACAGGGTCACTATGAGTCGGAACCTACTCGACAGCATTTAACAAGTGAGCGGCACCTATTGTCTTTTCCATTAATAGATATTATTTAAAGTTAGTCTTTCTTCATAGACTTGTTAGCAGGACAGTAGCAAGAATAAAAGATTATGTGTATTATTTATCTTCTTTCTTTCCCATCACTGTGGAAGCCTGACCAACCATGAAATGAATAAATCTTAAATTGACTTACAGGACTGTGAACTCCACTTTCCTTTTGAAACTCTTTTCTAAGGTGGTTGTGGGTCTCTTCCTCCTTGCTCTGCTTCTTTTTCTTGAAGGCACCTCTGGGCATTACTATCAATTGATTAATCTATCCATGCTGAAGCACTATAGGAGACAGAGAAATATCTCCTGCATACATAAGACAACAACCTGTCTACATGTCACTTGAGAAAACTAAATATAAACAAAAAATGGAATCACAAGCAATATGACAATGTAGTGTAATAATTATGAACCAACTCGAGTCAGACTGCACAGTCATTCTCTCAATCTGTTAAAGGTGCCTAAATAGCTAACAAATCTTGTCAGCTACGGTCCCATGGATAAGTTACTTGACCTCTTTGTGCCTTAGTTTTCCCATTTGCAAAATGTGCATAGTGGTTGTTGTTGTTAAGTGTCATCGAGTTGGTTCTGACCCATAGTGACCCTGTATAGGGTTTCCAAGAAGCAACTAGTTAGTAGGAACCGCCGACCTTGAATTTCAAACTGATCTTGTGGTCCAGTGCATTAGTACCTACTTTATAAGGTTGTTGTGAAATTTAGGCACTTAAAGAGGGTCTAGTATGAAAAAATACCGATGTTATATAAATCATTTAAATCATTATTAAAATGCTATAGAAAATCTTTTTTTTTTTTTTTATTAACCACTACCTTAATATTCAGAGACTGAGACTATTTGACATATATCCTTTCAGACTGTTTTCTATTTTAATAAAGGAGTTGAGAAGAGAGACAGTTCCCTCTACTCTCAAAAATGGTTTCACTCTCAGTATCTGAGCATAGTTCTGTAAACTGTTTGTGTGTGTGTGTCCCACCACTCACATGTATTCATTTTTTTGCGTGTTGTTTTTGGGAAGGGGATGATGAGTAAGAGTAAGGTATGAGGGTTAGGGTTAGGACTATGCCTAAATCTAGGCTAGGCCTAGGACTTGGTTTAGTGTTAGGTTATGGTTAGGGCTTGGGTGAGGGTTAGGAGTAAGGTTTTATCTAGTTTCTAGAATTACAGTTAGGGTTGTTTTTTTCATAATTATTTATTTATTTTTGAAATCTACTTGATTTCCTCATCATTTAGAAGTTTTGTAGCTACATTATTCTCTTTTTTAAATTTATAGGGTTTTTTGTTTGTTTGTTTGTTTGTTTTTGCTATTGCCACTGTGTCTCTGGTCTTGTAGATCTGTTTTACTTAGAATATTTCTATATCTGGGTTGAGTTCTAGGTAATGTTGTCATGTATGTTAGACTCTGGTTATTGTCTGCCGTTGTTGGTTCTCTGTCCAAAGAATTTCCTCTAGGATTTGTTATAAGGTTTGTCTGACTTTTACAATTCTTTTAGTTCCTGTTTATCTGAAAATGGTCTAAATTCACCATCATAATTAATAGACAGTTTTGCTGGGTACATGATTCTTGGTAGGCATTTTTTTTCTTTCTGAGTTTTATATATGTCATTCCATTGAATTTTTGCCTGCATGGTTTCTGCTAAGAAATCAGGGCTGACTTTTATTAGTTCTCCTTTGTAGGTAACGTTTCATTTTTCCTGAGCTGCTCTCAGGATTCTTTCTTTGTCTTTGGTTTTGAAAAGTTTGATTATAATATGTCTTGGGGTTTTTCTTTTGGGGTCTATCTTTTTGAGGTTTTTCTTTTGGACTATCTTCTCATTTTTTATGATGTTAGGGAAGCTTCTTTCCCACAACTCTTGGACCATATTCCTGATGACTTATTGCTGTGTTTCTGTTGGCTGTTCCTATTCAGGAATTCCAATCACATATAAGTTATTCCTCTTAACAGTGTCCCACATAAATCTTTGGTTTTATAAGATTTTTTTTTACTGTACCTATAGCAAATGAATATTGAGAGGTTTTTCTTCAAGCTCAGTAATCCAGACTTCCATTGATTCAATTCTATTTCTTTGCCCTTCAGTGTGTTATTTATTTTTGAAGTTTTCGTTTTAATCTTCTGACTTTCCAATTGCTGGTTTTGTTTGGTTCCCATTTTTTTTTTTCATTTACTTAATCAGTTTGTTTCCTGAATTCTTCTATAGTTTTTTCTAAGTTTTCCTTGATTTCATATGTAGTTTTCTCAGTCATTCTCTCAATCTGTTAAAGGTGCCTAAATAGCATTCTTTTGAATTACTTACCAAGTCGTTCTGACATCATTTCTGTTATTATATTTTCTGTCTCTATATTTTGATCACTTGAGGCACTCTGTCTTCTTTCTTCAGATAAGATGACATCATTTTATCAGAGACATTGTGGTGTAGTATTTATATTTAATTGATGATTGTATATTGGTGTGTTAGCAGGCACTCACCACCTGTCTCCTGGTGGATGTGGTAGTGACTGGAAGTGTTGATATAGTTTCTTGTTCACTGTTTGGACAGTGTAGTTTAGGGCAGGTTCGTGGGCTTCCAGAAATAGGGATGGTATGTCTGGTATCCCATCCCAGGCAGAGCAGAGGCTGTTCAGGAGAGGGTGTCACTGGCTGTTGGGTTGGCGAGGGCAAGAACTGGCCATGCCCCCAGCTGCCAGGAAGGTACAGGAACAAGGGAGAACTGCACCACCTCCCACCAACTTGTGTGCCATAGGTTGGAACCAACTCAACGGCACATAATAACAACAACAATAATTAAATGCTGTATAATGAACCTATTTTACTTTGAGACATTTTGTAAGCTAGGAGAAAAGAATAAATGACACCAAAAACTTGCAAAATTTTTTGTTAAGAATTTTTTCCAGATATTTTAGTCTGAAGAAATATGGCTGTCTACATACTTACATATACACACTTTTAAATATATGGTATTTTCTATACTAATGTGCATTTAGAGAACAGCTCGCATGTCTTGCTAAAAGAATTATATAGTTCTTATGGCCTACAATAATTTGTCTTCTGAAGTTTGCCGTATTCTTCTCACATAATATGAGTTTGGCCAAGATATAACCAACTTTCTATAATTTGGCAATGGACACCTTAGGAGGCATAGCCACTGTGCTTACACTGCCTTCCCATTCATCATTCAGTCATTTATTCACACTTTCAGCCGATACTAAGTGCCTTCCTTGTGTTTGGAATATGTTGTTGCTAGGTATCATTGAGTCAGTACCGACTCATAGTGAACTTATACAAAACAGAATGAAGCACTGCCTGGTCCTGTGCCAACTTCACAGTCTTTGCTATGCTTGAGCCCATTGTTGTTGCCACTATACCAATCTATCTCATTGGGGGGAGGGGGATCTTCCTCTTGTTCGTTGACTTTACCAAGCATGTTGTCCTTTTTCAGGGACTGGTCCCTCCTGATAATATGTCTGAAGTATAAGAGACAAAGTCTTCTAAGGAGCATTCTGGCTCTATTTCTTCCAACATAGATTTGTTCTTCTGGCAGTCCATGGTAGGTACTTTTAATATTCTCCTGTAACACCATAACTCAAATGCATCAAATCTTATACGATCTTCCTTATTCATTGTGCAAGTTTCAAATGCACATGAAGCTACTGAAAATACCATGACCTGGGCCAGGTGTCCCTTAGTCTTCAAAGTGACATCTTTGCTCTTGAATACCGTAAAGAGGTCTTGTGCAGCAGATTTTCTTAATGCAATGCGTTAGTTGATTTCTTGACTACTGCTTCCATGAGTGTTGATGGTTGATCTGAGCAAAATGAAGTCTTTGAAAATGTCAATCTTTTCTTGATTGATCATTACGTTATTTATTGGACGAGTTGTATTTTTGTTTTCTTTACATTAAGGTGTAATTCATGCCTAAGGCTGTGGTCTTTGATCTTCATAAGTATTTTAAGTCTTTGTTTTCAACAAGCAAGGTTGTATCATCTGCATATCATAGGTTGCTAGTAAGTCTTCCTCCACTTCTGATGCCACGTTCTTCTTCACATAATCCAGCTTCTCAAATTGTTCGCTCAGCGTATTGAACAAGTATGGTGAAAGAATAAAGCCCTGGAGCACGTGTTTCCTAATATTAAGCCATTCAGTATTCCTTTGTTCTGTTCAAATGGCTACCTTTTGGTCTGGTGTATGTTACTAAACTTAAGTGTTCCAGAATACTCATTCTCTGCAATGTTGCCCATAGCTTGTCATGATCCACACAAATGAAAGCCTTTGCATAGTCAATAAGGCACAGGTAAACATCTTTCTGGTATTCTCTGTTTTCAGTCAAGATCCATTAGACATCAGCAATGATGTCCCTCATTCTACACCCATGTCAGAATCCAGGTTAACCCTCTGGTAGTTCTGTCAGTATAAATTGCAGAGGGTTTTGAACTATCTTTAGCAAAATTTACTTGCATGTGATATTAATGATATGTTCCCCATCTTATCCCCATCTCCTGACAGATTGGATTTCCACATTCTGTTGGGTTACTTCTCTTTGGAAAGGGTACAAAAATGGATAGTTGACCAGGTAGCTGTCTTTCAAATTTGTTAGCATAATGGAGGAGGAAAAACAGCTCCTGTCCTCTTGTAGCTTACATGAAAAAAAAAAAAAAAAGATGACAGAACAGATAATAAACATGACCATAGAATAAATGCTGGTTACAAGTTTTGGTAGGTGCAGAAAGGAAGTGAACAGGTGGCTGGGAAAATAAGTAAGGGGACAATTGACTAATTCAGCAGGGGTCAGGGACCGCTCTTACTATGAAGATATGTCAGAAAATAACCTCCGCATAAAAGGGAAGATTCTGAAGTTGTAAAACTTAAAAGTGTGCATGATCAAAGAACAGTGAAGGAGGAAGTGAGAGGGAGGGGACACTAGGCTGAAGATGTAGGCAGGTGGTGCAAAATCTGGGAAAGATTTTGATTTTGATTCTATGTATAATTGGAAATTTCCATTCTTTCCCTGTAATTTAAATGGTGTTTATTTTTACTGATGGGTAACTTTCAAGGCTTAACCCGAACAAGGTCCAAGATTATTTATTGATAAAGTTTACTAACTTTTCCTAGACACCAGTTTCCCTCCCAGTAGCTGCCTGGTGTGGCGCTGTAGGATAAGCGCTAGATTACGAACCACAAGGTCGACAGTTCAAACACACCAATTGCTCATTGGAAACCATATACAGGGTCGCTATGGAGAAGGATATCATGTTTGGTAAGGTGGAGGGTCAGAGAAAAAGAGGAAACCCCCCCAGCGAGATGGATTGGCAAAGTGGCAGCATCAATGGGCTCGAGCGTGGCAACAATATAGTGAGGTTGGCCCAGGATCGGGCAGTGTTTCGTTCTGTTGTGATTAGGGTTGCTATGAGTCGGTACCGACTCGATGGCACCTAACAACAACATGAGTCGGAACGGACTGGACGGCACTTAACACAGACAGCAATAGCTGTCTGTAGTGTGTTATTACGTGCTGTCCAGTCGGCGACCCCCTATGGTTTTCGAGGAGCGGTTGGTGAGTTTTAGTCGTCCACCTTGTGGTTCAAACCGATCTTGCGGTCCAATGCATTTTCCTGCAGGGTCACACCGAATATACGGTATGCATATACGGGCAAATAATCGTATTTTATAATGTAGGGGCGTGAGCGATCAGTTTGTGTTGTAAGACCATCTGAGAGGGGAATGGCTTTCTGAATTCACAGCCTCGCAACCCTGCTCTCGCACTTCACAAACTACTCTTCCTTAAGCTCCGGGTTTCAAAACCGTAGCTGCTTCGTGGCCCAGGGCTTCTACGTTCGCTCCCACATGGCGCTGTCGGCAGTTCCCATGCGACTCACAAGCTGCAGTTGGCACCAACCGGCAGTTCCAGGCTCCAAGGCCCGGACCTTGGCCGTCAGCTCAGGTGTGCTGTGTTTTAAAAACCTAAGTGGAAGCAGATTCAGGGCACGTGAGTGCAGAGCAGCCTCGGCTTTTTTGCGGGTTGAGAACTGGCCGGGCGGGGCCAATTCTGGGGCAGGGTCTAAACCGTGGGCGGGCCCAAGATTGGGGGGCAGGGCCGACGCCGCGGCTTCGCTGCCGCGCTCTTCTCGGCTCCAGCGGCGGTGCTTCTGTCCCGGACTCGGGCCACCCACGGGGCGGTGGGCGCGCCTTGGCCGGGGATCTCCAAGATCCCCCTAAGGTAAATCCGCCTTAGAGTCGGAAAGCTAGATCACTAGGGGACCAGCAACGGGGCGGGCGCCTGGATGGCGGCGGAGGGGCGCGTCCCGCGGCGAGTTTCCCAGGAACGCTGAACTTGTCCCAAGTTTCTTGTGCATCAGTTTGTACCCGGCGAATTCATGGCTGATTCGTTTTGTGCTGGTGGTCTCTGGACTTTGGAAGGACCGAAGGTAATTGGATTAATCCTCTCGGTCGGCAACCCAGTTTTCTAAACCAGATCGCGGAGTACGGTGGACGCCGTTTCGATCCGGAAAGGGCGGGTAAACGCTGCGCAGTTGCGCCGGGAGCTGAGCAGCCCGGGGTCCGCAGGGCTCCGAGTGCGTGTGTCTGCGAGTCGTGTCGGCTCCGGAGGCAATGTTTTATAACTTCTTTCCTCTTTAGGCTAAAGTAGCGGGGTGCTGTTCTCCCGGACTGGTGCCCGAGGCCCAGCTATGGACGGCGAGAGCGAAGTAGACTTTTCTAGCAAAAGCCTAACCCCTTTGTGGCGGAGGAGATCGACCCCCCAGCCTCAGTTGCTGGCCAGGAGCAAGCCGAGGCCCCAGTCATACCAGAGTCCCAGCGGGCTGCTCATCACTGATTTTCCGGTGGAGGACAGAGGGACGCTCCCCGCGACGCAAACTCCCGCTCAGTTGCCCACTGCCTCGGAGAGTAGGACAGTCCAGAAGAGCCCCCAGCTTCTGTGCACCAATAGGAGGCCAATGGCCAACGGGAGGACTGTCTTATCGGAATACAGGGCTGTTTCTCCCCGACTCCGACAGCCCAAGTCACCCCAGCCCCCCAAGCCGACCTCGGGTGGCTCCCCGAAACTCCCAGCTAATGGTATAGTGACCTCTCCTGCACCGCAGCCGCCACTGCTGCACCCCCAGCGAACTCCTAACGCTCCTGTCCCTTGCAGTCCCGAGGAGGACCCGACTGGGCTGACCGCCATCCGTGAGCCGTCAACCGCTGCAAATGGGCTTGCCCCTAATAACCACTCTGCTGGTTCCTGTTCTCAAACCGTTCAGATGGCTCAGGACCCGGAACGGGGATCCTCAAAGCTCTCTCCTTCGCCTCAGAAAAGGTCTTCAGAGCAAAAACTCCCCCTCCAAAGGCTGCCCTCACCAGAGAATGAACTCCCAGAGAATCCTTCAGTGGTTTTGAGTACAAACAGCCCCGCAGCCCTCAAAGTGGGGAAGCAGCAGATCATTCCAAAGGGCCTGGCCTCGGAAATTAAAATAAGTAAATCCAACAGCCAGAATGTGGAGCCTCACAAGAGAGTCTTTAAGGTGCGCAGCATGGTAGAGGGCCTTGGCCCACCCTTCGGCCACGCAAGGGATGAGGGTGAGGCGGAGAACGACCTGGACAGTCCTGGGTCTTTGCGGAGAGGCTTGCGGTCCACGTCCTATCGCCGAGCCGTGTTCAGTGGCTTTGATTTTGACAGCCCTAACAGCTCGAAGAAGAAGAACAGAATGTCCCAGCCAGTTCTGAAAGTAGTGGTGGAAGACAAGGAGAAGTTTTCCAGTCTTGGAAGGATAAAGGTAAGAGTGGAAGAGTAGAAGTGGGCTCAATCTGTATGCTAAGTTTAAAGTAAATGTGATGAATAAGGGACACAACAGAACCAGAGGTAATGTCCTCTTTCAATTCTATCTTTTACGATACATACCTGTGCACATACATATTTTTTTGGCCCTTCTCTTGCTGGCAGACACAGCTAAGGTTAATGTAACTTTGTGGGAGGAAGTGAAACTGAGGACAAGTTTTTCAACTTCCTAAGCTCAGACACAATTTTGGAGCCAAAAAAGGGAGATTCAGGACTCATTAAGTATTGACTGATTGAGCCCTGATCACTTTTGATGCAGGTAGTTGAAAAACACAATCTTGATTGTATGATCAAGTTATCTGGTGCTAGTATTCATAGAGTGTTAGTGGTTACTGATGCCATTCATTACGTTCTATATAGAAAAATATTCATGTTTTAACTCATGGATTAGCTTCTGCTTTTAATTAGTGACTTGTTTTCTTCTTGAGTGATAATCACACACTCAGTGACATTCAGATAAAATGTAAGTTTTTATAAACAATTGCCAAAATCACAAAAGACCCAAAGAGTTATATATTTTTGTTGTTTGTTTTTCTCACTGTGCTTTTGGCTGCATTTTACTCCCATTTTCTACCCATTTATACTTGAGTGCATTTAGTAAATTAGTAGCTCAAAATTTAGGTTAGGGTGAACTATGTGGTTTTGTCTCCTAGATTAAAGCCCAGGATCTGTGCTTACCAAAATACTGCCAAATAATGCCATTTCTTTAAAAAGAGAAAACTAGAGTGGGAGATTTTAGAGTTCATTTTCTGCCTCCTCCAGAAACAAGACAGACCTAGGCAATAGGGCAGCTATTCATTTTGGCAACCTCATCCTATTTTGATTATTCAGAGAACTTGAACTAGTCTATAAATGTCACATATGTAATACACAGGCAAGTCTGTTTTATTTTAGAGCCTTATGGTCTTAAAGAAAAGAAATTACATAACATTTTATGTGTGTTTTCCAACTCTGCAAGTATAGTAAAGTTCAATTTAACAGAGATGGTGAATCACAAGTAGTGAAATGAACTGAACTGCTGGTCATTTGAGGATACTTAAGACTGTTTTGACAGGACTTGGGGGACATTGTACATTTCACTTTTTTAATGAATTGTAGTGGTCATTTGAGTGAACTGCTCCAGGGATCATCTGCAGTGTACTTTTGAAAAGTTATTGAATCTAACAAATAAATACTTTTACTTAAAATAGCTGTGTTTTCTATTTGGCTTATTTATACATAGTTTGCGTTTCTTTTTCTTTTCTTGGTTTGTAGAAAAAAATGCTGAAAGGACAAGGAACATTTGATGGGGAAGGTAAGCATTGGCTTTTCCAGACTTTTATTGCTGTTTCAATATGGAATATCAATTATAAGTTTAAATTCAACAGCAGAAACAAAAACACTTAAAATGAGAGAAATATTTAACTTCTTCCCATATCATACAGTGCAAAGCTCTATGCTAAGCTAAAATTTCTTCTAGCAGTACCAACAATGAATAAAATTAGTAGCATGCTTTGTAAACTGATAACTTTGTCAGTAACTATCCCAGGATTTTAAATTCTCCTTTCCTTCTCTGACTTCATCCACACTTTCCTCAAAAATATGGAAAAAAGAATAAGAGCAAGCTCTAACTTGTTAATTAAAAATTCAGAGTTTGGCACTTATATCTTAGGTCATATTTCATTTTGACTTTATATACCTTCCCCCCAGATTTCCACGTTTTATTATCCTTCCTGATTTCCTGTTTCATTATTAAGTTTCACATTTGAGGAACTATAACTATCCTGGCTGATAAATATTTTCCTAAGAATTTGTGTTTTTGTTAAGGTTTTCAAAAAAACAAACAGCAGCTTTAAGCAGGTGTTCAAACCCTAATCAGATTAGTGGATTTGTAAATAGATGGGTCGTATGTCAGCCAATTGGAAGAGCATGAAGGAACCAGTCCAAGCTGCAGCCTTGTAGAGCTGAAGGGTCCTGGTGACTTTGTGTCATTTCAAAATGCTAGGATTTTTTAACCTTTAAAGGATAATGAAGGAGGACCTTTTCTGTAAGTAAATCTTAATGTAAAACCATCCCGAGTTATAAAATGCTTAAATAGCCTGAGTTATTATTTATTACAAAAGCTTTTCCTGTATGGTGGTGGTTATGTGCTGTGTAGTCGGTTCTGATTCATAGTGCCCCTGTACAGGGTTTTCGAGGCTGTAAATCTTTATGGGAGCAGAAAGCCTCATCTTTCTCCCACGGAAAGTTTCCCACTGGAGCATCATTAAATATGATCAGTTTAAAAATTTCATTCACTTTACCTGATCTTAGGAAGTAATATTTGAGTTGGTTGGAACAAATTTGTCTCCCTGATTTTATAAGTGAACAAATCAGAAGCTCCTAGATGTTTAGTGACTTGTTCACTTTTACACAGCTAGTAGCAAAGCCAAGGAGCTCTGGTAGCGTAGTGGTTACGAATTGGGCTGCGTACCTTAAGGTCA